GGCTGGTGGGTTTGAACTGCCAGCCTTCTCGTTAGCAGTCAAGTTGAAGTATGTGTTTTTTGAGGACATTTATTTTAAGGTTATTTTGGGGTATTTACAAATGTATATTGTTGGGTATTGAGAATGAATAGAAGTAGTAGAGAGAGCAGTGTGGATGGTTAGAACTGGGCTGAAGTCAAATTCTATCTTAGCTGTGCAACTTGAGTTAAGTAATTTTATTTCTTTGAGCCTGAGTTTATCTATGAAATTAAATAGTTAGGCTAAATTTTCTCTAAGAAATTTACCTGTAATCCTATGATTTTTGAAAGTTAGATTTCATTTTGTAATATATGATAGAACTTAGTACACTTGAGTTATTGCAAAATTAAATGTCAGCTCATGCAATTTAATAGTCATGAGTCCTTGTGGGAAAAACAAATAGATTCAAGTGACAAAGACAAGTTCTGAATAACTTTCTAACCTGTTTTTCCCTCAAAAGGATCTAATTGTATGTGCTTCACCCTAACTAATAAAAGAATGGGAATGGTTCTCTCTCTCTCTCTCTCTCTCTCTCTCTCTTTTTAATTATGATTTGAGGGAAAGCTTTCAGAGCAAATTCACTTTTCATACGGCAGTTCACATACACTTTGTCTCATGACATTGACTAAAAATTACCACAATGCAACAGCTCCCCTCCCACTTCTTCCCAATAGTTACCTTTTTCCTGTGCCCATCCCTCCATGCACTCCTGCCCCCTGAGCTGTCTCCTTGTGTATAAACAGCCCTTCTTTCTCCCATGTTTGGTCTCTCCAAGGAGTGTATCTACCTCAGGTACATGTTCAACCCAAATGCCTGTCTTTTGTTTGGCTGGAAGCCACAGATGATGGTTCAGTTGCAGACCTGAAGGGCAGCTAGAGGTCATAGCCTCAGTGGTTCCACCAGGTTCTATCAGACCAGCAAACCTGGTCCCATTTTTTTTTCAAATGATTTTGAGTTTTGTTCCACATTGTTCTCCCACTCTATCCAGGATCTCCTCCATAGATCCCCCTCCGAGTGGTTGACAGTGGTAGCTGGGCACCATCTAGTTCTTCTGGTCTCAGAGTGGTGTAGGCTGAGGATCGCATGGTGTACCAGTTGCTTGAACTAATTGTTTCCATGACTCTTTGGTTTTCTTCATTATTCGTGACCCATTGTTGCATCTAGATGACTGCTTGCAAGCTTTTAAGATCCCAGTTGCTACTTGCCAAAATAGGAGGTAGAACAATATTTTGTGTAGTGTGTTATGCCAATTGAGCTTGATGTCCCCTGCGACTATGGCCCCGAACCCACAAGTTCATCTACTTGCTCCCTCTGGGTAGCTGGCTGTGAGGAATGGCTCACTTGACTGTAATCCCCTTGCTAGTAATTTTGGATTGTTCTCTTCATGAGAATTTACTGTCTCCTACGCCTTGAGCTAGGAGGTCTGGTAGCGTAGTGCCTAAGGCACTTGACTCTTAACCAGAAGGCTGGCAGTTCAAACTCACCAGCCACTCCTTTGAAGGAAGGTTGGACAATCTACTTCCATAGTGATACTGCCTCGGAAACCCAAGGAGGGGTCATTATGAGTCAGGTCCAACTCGATTGCACATAACAACAACAAGCCTTGAGCTGAGACTTTTAAACCTCTAAGCATAGGATTTGGAATTGATGGTCACAACCAATAGAGGTTGTCACCAATCTGTGATTTTGTGTTCAGACAAGTAGAGCTCTTCTTAGTGTCACAACAGTTGGATATTTGGTGCTAACGTTAACTCTGGTCACTTTCATTAACTTTCATATCTAGCTGGGATGAACTCAGGCTTTATTCACTGACCAGTTTTATGGCACAGTGTATGCAGACCTTCAGTGTTTGTTTAGGTAGCCAAGTGTCTTGTATGGCTTCAGGCCTGACATAGGCAATGGGACTCCTGTCCATTGGCTTAACAAAAAATGCACTTCTCACCACTGCAGATGTTCAGCATACCTAATCCTCTGAGTCATATTTTATTTTATTTTACTGAAGCAATCATATAAATCACACGGGTAGTGGATTGATTGATTTTATATCATTATGTCATAATATATTCATGGCCACTTAATTAAATATAGAATAATCAATCTGGAAAAACGTTGATAGCTTTTAAAATTTTTATTCAGGTATACAAAAGGGGCAATCTGTAATTGAAATGCAAAGCACTTTTAAGGGCTAAAAGATTTTGTCCCCCCCTTTCAAACCTTGGGAGCTCTGGTGGCATAGTGCCTAAGGAATTTGACTGCTAACCAGAAGTCTGGTGGTTCAAACCCACTCAGCCCCTCCTCGGAAGGAAGATTGTTGTTATGTGCCCACAAGTCGGACTGACTCATAGCGACCCCTCCTTGGGTTTCCGAGGTGGTATCACTTCTGTGCAAGGAGATTATCGAACCTTCCTTCCAAGGAGTGACTGGTGGGCTTGAACCACCAGCCTTCTGTTTACCAGTCAAGTACCTTAGACACTAAGCTACCAGAGCTCCTGGAAGGAAGACTGTTGTTGTTGTTGTTATGTGCCGTCGAGTCGGCCCCGACTCATAGCGACCTCTCCTTGGGTTTCCGAGGCAGTATCACTACGGAAGTAGGATTGCCCAACCTTCCTTCCGAGGAGTGGCTGGTGGGTTTGAACCGCCAGCCGTCTGGTTAGCAGGCAAGTGTCTTAGCCACTATGCTACCAGAGCTCCTCGGAAGGAAGACTAGGCAATCTAATTCCGTTGAGATACCTCCTAATTCTGTTGAGAACTCAAGGAGAGGATCTAATTACATTGAGAACTCAGGGAGGGGTCACTATGAGTCAGTAAACAACTCCACGGCAGTGAGTTTTTTCCAAACCTTGTATTTAGTCCTGTTTTCCTACCTATTTCATGATTGCTTCCTTCCCTACAGAGAGCCTTTACTTGCTCCTTACAAGATTTGAAGTTGCATTGGTGGATGTGGTCAAGTCAGAATCCTCCATTGGTTTTGCTCTAAGTGTTTCAGGAAGAGTTGAGAACACCACACCCGTTAGATTTTTTTCTTATATGAATTTGTTTAAAAGCTTGAGGGGTGGTGGTGAGGGAGAGGGAATTTAAAAGTGGGAAAACAATACATGTTTGGCTTCCCGTTCCAATAAGGAAAGCGTGCTTTTGTGGCAAACCAAAAGGCTGGGAATTAAGGGTGATGAAATGCAGGCCTTCCGGCCCTCACTCTGTTCCCAATTCCTGGTTGTGGGAATCTGTTCCGAATCCAACTGCAAGTGAAAAACCCATGTTTGGCTGAACATCCAGGGAGGCCCTCCTGCCGATCCCCCAAACGTGCTGCTGCAACTGTGGCCCTATCAGCCTTGAGAAGGAGCTGTCTTCCTGACACCTGTCAAGGTAGCTGTGACTGTGATCAGCCTCCGCATTGCATTTTGGTGGTGACCTTGAGACCAGCCAATTCACCACAGCTGCTCTTGCCCTCCCCCAGCTGCTGCAACTGCAACGCCAGGGGGCCAGAGGAACGGAGACTCCTCTGGCCCGTCTTTTCCACTGGCTGGCAGGTGCCAAACGTGGTGCCCAGCTCTCCTAGTGCCTGCCACCCGCTGGGTGTGAGGACAATCCAGGTGTGTGTGAGATGGCCACTTGTTCCAGCCCTGGCTTTAGTCCTGGTCCCTGGGAAGTGGGTGGCTCTGTCTGACCACCAGCCTGGTGCGCAGACGGGCTCCACGTGGGGACTTGCTTGGCAGCTCTGTGGCGAGATGCTCAGGGACAGTTGATGGTCTCGCAAGAGAAAAGAGCCAGAGGTCATCTTTTTGTTCCAAAAGTGTGAATCTGCCTTCTGGTAAGGGCAGGGGTTCCTTTGGAGAACCGTCATCAAAAATGGCTAGAGCCAGAAAAAGAAATCTTTTCTCTCCAGCCACTCAGAGTAGCCAGTGTATTTTCAAAACTCCTCCTCCATCCCTTGCCCTCATCCTGTGCTTTTCCTTTTAAGTGGCTTTATTATTATTTTTAATCCACTTTTGTCATTGGACATTTATTGACAGAAATCAAATAGCTGTGTTCCTGGGCAAAGCGCCTGCTGCAAAGAGGTGTGGTTCCCGAGGAATGAGACACAGCCCAACAGCTGAGCCTACACTGTCCTCATATAACCTCTCTGCCTTAAATATCGCCAATATTTAGCCTTGCCTTATAAAGTAAAAATGCACAATACCTTCCAGAGTTTAAGCAAGCCCAAATGCCCCCCTTGGCTCGGTTATATCTCCTGTACATTAGAGGCAGAGCACCGCACCCCTCCCCCAGCTCAGACCTGCCCTCGGAGCCTCGAAGAGGTTACTAATCAGGGAGACTCCGCCATCGATCCGATGGTGGAGACCTGGGGGATTTGTGTGCATTGTTTTTGCTGAAGCCTCCTGTGATTTCGGCGCAACCAGATCCTCTGCAGTGAACTCCATGTCGCAGCTTGGGGCTGCCTGTGTCCTGTGGTGAGAGTGGAGCCGCACAGGAGATCCTTTGTCTAGGAAGGGCTAGGCAGAGAAGATCACTTTGGAGTTGCTAAGCTCTGCATTGCCATTGGCTGCACTCTTTGTGGGGCTGTTTTTGCAAAAGGCATGCCCAGCACGTCTACAGTGCTGGCAGGCCAGGGCTGCCTTTAAACACCATGATAATAATACCAAAAAGCAGTTTGCAGAACTGTTTCACTGTAGAGGCTTCCTCTGCAGAAGCAAGCAAGATGGCTACCTCGTGGGCTTCGCTGTGAAGAATGCAGAGGCTAATTAAGACAGACTTTAAGGGGAAAAAAGGGTATTTCCCTACTTCATCTTTCTGCAAGGCTTTTTTTCTGTGACTTTTGAAGTATACATTTTACATAACCTCTTTAGGTTCTGCCTAGCAAACATATTGATGATTTTAAATGGTATAAGTAGTTTTACAGTGAAATAGCCAAAAATTTAGGGGGGTGGGAGGTTTTTTTTTTTTTCCTTAAATGGAGGCTCATTTTGCAATTTGATTTTTTTTAGGTTATAAAGGAAAACAAGAGGCCCCAGAGGGAAAAGAAGCCCAAAGTTTTAAAGGTAATCAGCTATTGATTAAATAATACTGAATATTTTTTCCATTTCATATAATATTTTGGTGTCACTTGGGGGTAAATCCAGAGTGTAGTGGATGTGAATATTCCCAGATTTTCAGCTGATAAATGCATTTGCACTCAACTAAAGTGTTTTTGCTTTTTTTTAAAATGTGGTGCATAATGTGCATATTAGGATCCTTTATTTTCAACTCCACACAAGTCTGCAAAAGGAAAAGTTTATATGCAAAGTATTGTGAATAAAATTTGTTTTTCTTTGTAGCATCTGCATTTGTGGTGTTGCATCACTGTGTAAACTTAAGCTCTTTAGGAGAAAGGCACTATTTGAAGTTGACAGCTATGATCCATTGTGATTTTAATAGATTTTCTATTAGATACTATTTTAAAATGTATGGATTTTTTTTTTCTCTATAAAAAGGTCCTTAGAGCTTTTAGTTCAACTTAAAACATGCAAGCCAGTGAGATCTTACAGACAAATTATAATCCCAAATTCACATTATATCATCTTTAATTTTGGCATTCATAGAGCTGTAGGAATATGCATGTTTTCTTTATTTGCAATAGTTTGCCTAATGACTATTTAGTAGTAACCTAATTCTGTCATAGGCTAGCAGTCTGTGTTATGAGCTTCATACACTAATTAGAAAGGTTAATTTAAAAACATATGGCATCCCTAAAAGTTCAAGTCTAGCTCTAGTCCAGCAAATAGATGTCCATTTGTTAAAGCCCTCAAGTGGTATATTGCTGTTATAAATGTGGAACCTGAGCATGGAACATCTTTCATTCATTTTAAGCCATATAAAGCATACATATTAAGAAATAAAATCACTGGTCCTTAAAATTATACTGCATGTGTTTAATTTAAAATATTTAACCTAATCAGAGTTTTTGCAAATAAAGTTTTAGTGCTCAAAGAGGAACAACGTGTTGAACTATGGATGTGGCAATTTTTTTTACTTCATTTGTTTCCCCACTTGTGTAACCTGAAAATGTCACTGACATGGGCAACCAAACCTTACATTGCTTTCTAATTTATCTGATTACCTCCAGTTTATGTTTCCTGTGTGTACATAGCATTGCCATGTGCATTTTTGAGCAACCAACAAGTATTTATTTAATATTTACCACATAGTCAGCAATGTACTAGGCACTGTGAAATGAATGAAATTGCTTGGCATGGGTTCTTGCTTGGCCTTGACAAATAGAATATTGGTTATTTTCAAGATAAATGATTTTTTGTATTCCTTGTGCATATTAACCCATCTCCTTTCTTCTACACCTTCTCTTTCCCTCCTCCAACTATAGAACTTCATCATTAAAAACCCTAATTATATTTCTTAATCTCTTTTTACACTTTCTGTATTGGGTTTATCCATCTTAGGCATTTTCCATATTAAATTCTTCAAGTGAGAAATATTTTTTTTGTCTTGCTGTTACAAATGGCTCTCACATTTTGGGGAGAGAGGGGATATACACTACACAGAGAAACCAATAATAGATTAAACCTTGTAGCTAAAGTTTCTCCCACTTTTGCTAGGAAGTGAACTGGGCTTTGGAAGTGCTGTTTAATTCTATGTTTATTTTGTTAGTCTGTGGGTGTCCTGTCACCTGAAGTAAAGTTCAGAAGTAAATATACAGTGTGTTGCTTTTTGGCATCATGGCAGTGGACTCTGACTTTTTTTTTCTTAAATAAGTATCTGTGGGTGGCCAGATTTCATCTGCCACAGCAAGCAGAACGGAATTGTTGCTCCCTTTCCTCTATACTTAGTGAATGTTGAATAAGAGGAGGAAAAAGCCCTTAAAGTGAGTGTGTGGGGGGAAGTCTCCCCCAGTGTTAGCATTTAAACTGTTTTCATTAATTTTCTGTTAAGGCATAATGTTTTTTGTTCTTGTTCCATAAAAACTTTATTTCTCCGCTCTGAAGTAGAAATGCTGAAAATGTATAGATTTTAGATTGATAAGTAAAAAATTTCTCTAGATCCCTAAACAGTGAGAAAATGTATCTGTTAAAGCCTGTATTCCTGTTATATCAGCTCCAGATAACTATTGCCATTTACCTGTTCTCTAGGCAATGTAGTATTTAATTAATAAGTAGTAGCATGAAGTATCAATCTCTATTCTATAAAGTTTGAGAATGCTTATATTTGTATTACTTTCCACTTTCTATAAACTCAGGACTAAACTTGAAAAAAAAATTTCTCTGTATTAAATGGAGAATTAACAGAAGAGAAATTAAGAAAGTTACGTATGCATTGTGAGAGAGAGGATAGGTAAAGAGTAGAACTTTCAGGTTGAGGTTTTATGGGTGATGACTTACACATTCTAGATAGCTGGTACCCAGAGAATCAGTGACAGGGATATCCCACAGGTTACAACTTAGTCTCCTTTCACAATTCTCTGTCTACTTTTGGGTCTCCTGTCAGAGATCTAGTCTGTTTCCTTTGCTTCTGACCTCTCAGCTCTTCATATGTCCTGGTGCCTTGCTCTTTGTCAGGGTGAATGCTATAGGTACCCCAATTTAAATGTCATCATTTATTAGAAAGTAGTTGGACAGATGAAGAACCTGATTAAGGAAACTGGGTATAGAATTTGTGGCTTCTTCTATCCCACTCTGATGCTGATGACTAAATACTGAATCTCATTGATGGGGCTGAAGGTCTCTATATGTCTCACAGCTTTATTCTTTAAAAATAAACTTTATATTCATCCTATTGTAATTCAGATACTATAACTGTAAATAGTGGTCTCAGATCTCTTAGTAGAGAGTCTTCCTCTGGCTAAAATGACAGTCTCTGTCCAAAGCACTTTAATGGCCAAAATGAGTATCAAATGACCATGGTGGTGGCGGTAGAGTGGTGCTCGGCACAAACTCCTGCCCACCACTGGTACTGGGAAACCAGCTTCCTGCTAAAGCTCTGAAGATAATCAACATTTTCACATAGAGACAACAGCTTCTTGGCTAGCTATAATTGTTTCCTTAACTCTTGACTAAGGTATAGCAATATGAACATTAGGGTGAAAAAGGGGCTTGAAATTCAGTTACCTGAACACACAAAAATGATTTAACTTCCGGCCTTGGCTCTTGACCTTTGGCATTATGAGTGGTATGAGTTTGGTATTCCTCTTGGTAGAAAACATTTAGGTAAATAAGATTCCTTGGAGAAAGTCAACTTTAAAGTAACCTTATTTTGAGTAGGTTGTCAGCTAAGAGTTCCTGGAGAAAATCAGATAGCACAATCACTTGGAGTTATTGAGCAGAATTTAATAAAGAGATTAGTTTGAAAGGTACAGCTAGAGAGAGGAGAAGCAATTAGGGATGGTGAACTGTCCAGGGCTAACATCAGCAGAAACCTATTACCATTCCGAGGCCTGAAGGGCTAAGGTGGTTGGAACCCACAAAGAATAGTTGTAGCTGAATAGAGGGACCAAAAGTTTTTGCTATAGCTTTGGCAGAGGGATGCTTCAACAGAGAAAAAGTCATGGGCAGGGGAAGATAAATATCCTGTACTTAGTTTCCTGCTGCTTTCATTGGTTGATGCCAATTGGAAGCCACAAGGAAAAGGAGCCCACTGATGGATACATCCAGGTCAGCCTCCTTGAGCATGTAAGATGAGGGTGTAGAGGGTAGTGTGTGGACCAAGAGGGGCAAACAATATAATCAACATTGGTGGTAACCATGCTGTCAGTATGGGAGGGTCAAAAATAGTATTGGAACCATGGTTATGTAAGATGGTAACACTAGGGGAGGCTGGATGAAGGATACATAAGATCAGTTGGTCTATCTTTGCAACTCATTTGTATGTTTAAAGTCATTTCAAAATAAAAAGTGTGAACCTCTCTGAGAGAACTACAGTAATACATTCTGTAATTAGAAAATCTTTCTTGGCTGGTAAAGGACATGTTCTAGTTGTCAAAGTAGTATTTGGAAGAAATGGGTAAACCAATAGAAAGAATTGTCAGTGGATATTATTAAACTGGGAATCCTAATAGAGATAATGATTTAGAAAAAAGAAAAATGAAACTAAGTGATCTTCCTGCTAGACAGTGCTGATCTGCACTGTTTCCTTCCTTCCTTGATGATGCTGATAAAGGAGAAGTGGTTGGGGTGGGGCATAGTACATCTATCTCAGCAGGACAAGGGCAAGAAACTTGCATATATTAATTCTGTAATTAGATAATCTTTCTTGGCTGGTAAAGAACGTTCTCTAGCAATTTGGTTATAAAATATCATCAAAGGATTAGCTGGAGAAACTAAGTGAACAAATAGAAGTGGCAGTGGATATTAAACTAGGATATTACATGGTTATGTGTATATGTGTTTCTGAAATATGTTTTACAAGGAGAATAAAACCATAAATGAATCACATTCTTATATGGTCTTAATTTGCATGACATACTGACATTTAAAATATTTAGTACCATTGTAAATGGCTCATAGTGAATGCCAACATTATTTGTCTATTTCTATCTGTCAAATATTAAATGTTAGGGCTACAATGGTAAACAAAACCAATCTGCTTTCCTTTCCAAGGAACTTAAATGCTGAATTTAAAATAAAATAACAAGTTGTGCTAAATACTTTGAAGGAAACAAAGAAAGTGCTGAGATGAGAGAAAACACCATCTAGGGAAATTCAGTTAATGTCTTTGAGACCTTTTTCCTTCATCTGTAAATTGTTGTTATATCTACTAGTGCTGATTTAAAAGTACCAAATGAGACACAATTGAGTACCTTATTAATTTTTAAAATTCATTAAAGTACAAGATAGGAAGGATAACAGTGGCTAAGGACTTTTCTCTGCATACACACATACAACTTTGTTTCAGTTAGTAAAAGAAATAATTGGTACAATGTTAAAGTTTTCTTAACTCTGGTTGTAATGTAACATTCTATGATTCAGAGCAGCAACATGTTGCAAATTATAGGCTATCTCAAATACTAAGCTTGACTATTGTTCAAAACATGCCATTCTGGTAGATAGAGTTC